TTACAGGTAAATAACCCTAACCACAATCAAAAGTCAGTATACATTTTGGGGGCCATACTTGTATGTAAATTTTATTCTTACTACAAGTTTTTTTTTGTTTTTTTTGTTCTTGTTTAATAGCCTAAAAGAAAATCAGAATGACTTAAGTAACGTGTGGAGAGAGGTTATTTGATTCTAATTGTGTAAAGAAAATCACTTGAGATGCCAACAATATTTCTAAAATAGAGAGAATGGAAAAGTAGAAATTAAATTTTTGTTCTTAAAAAATGTTTCATAAAAATTACAAACGAAAAAAAATTTGATCATAAATAGATCACAAAATGTAAACAAAAATAAAAATGAATCTTATATATTCATAAAACTTTATTTAAACTACCTCTCTTATAACATTTATTATGGCCCAAATTTATATGACTCCATAACAACTATTATGATAGGGAGGTAAAATGATTTGTCATAACCACGTGAAATATTCAACAAATATTTTCATCAAAAAATATTCAGCCTGAAAACCATGCCACGGGTTGACCCAAGCCTTGTGAGTGAAATTGGGTAGACAGAACACTTGGGAGACTGTCAATAGCTGTGCTAGCACAAAGTCACAAGTCATTGTGACTGAGGATTCAAGTGTGCTGGCCTTGTTCAGATTGTTGATCACACTAGATAACACGCTCTCTCCCAGAAACTAACTACGGTCTGCTCAGCACAGTTGCAGTATAAACCACAGGTGGGCTCTGTGGGTGTTGAATAAATGCAAATGCACCTGAGCAAGCGTCTGCAATAGGGATTGGCTAGCCACCATAGTAGATGGGTATCCTCGAATACAAGTGGCCAGCTATTATTATTTATTATATATATAATCAAACATATATTATTAAGTATAACAGACAATGAATGTCTATTGTGCTTGATCATGAGCCATTCTAAACTTTGTATGGTTGCTTGAATTTCTGGAGAAAATAAAGACAAAAATTGTCCAACATTTGGATATTTTTTTTTATTATGATGTTCCTTGATCTAAGCTTTCGGCTCACATCAGCCATCTTCAGAGAGGTTATATGGACTTTCAAACAAAAATATTCACCATCAAAGATGATATCCTGTTATGTTGACATAGAAGACTGCTATGTGACGATAATGGTTGCGAAATAGCAAACGCAGATCATAAATTCATGATGCGGTTCTATGACGTCGTACCATATGAGATGAGAGACCGCAAGATTAACAACAGAATCATGTCTAGATGCAATATATATATATATATATATATATAAAATAATACCAAATCACCTACTTAAAGTTTCCTGCAATGATGATTGTCATTACATGAAACTCTGATTAGCAGATTTGGTATTATTATTATATTTAGGCTCTGTTAATTTTGGCATTGAGCCCTCAGTTTATTTTATATTTTAACCTTTACTTTTATTCTTACTATCTGTGTGTATAAATTTATTTAATGAGATTATATATATATATATATATATATATATATATATATATATATAGATAGATAGATATGTATGCTTTGTTGACATAATAATAAAAAAAAAATCCTGAATTGATTTTGATGGCAAGTAAATAGCTTTTGAGATGGTGACACTTGATCATGATTTATTAACACAAATATTTAAAGACTTGAAATTCACATCAACCATAAAGGATTTGCGAAATATTTATTTTAGGACATTTTCTGAGCCATGAGTAAAATGAATAAAACTTGAAATTTTTATTTTCAAAAATCCATTATGCATTACAACATAGGAAGTAAAAAAACAAAAAAAACATGGAACGAGGTTAATAAGTGCTAATGAAATTAATTATTAATTCATTATTTCTGACTTATCGCATTTATAAGTCTTGATCTGAAGAAGATATTGAAACTGACAGTCACCATAATGTTGATCCCTATGTCCATTGTGTGTGTGTGTGTGTGTATATATATATATATATATATAATCTCCCTGGTCAAAATCTTAAGACTAGATACAAAAGGGTTAAAAAAAATAAAATACTGTTAGTTTAATCAAAATATATTTGCGAAACATTTACATTTAATTAGAACATGTAGTTTATCAACAAACAAGGGAACATTTTAAGCTTTTAATTAATTTAAACAAACAGTGAAAAAAGGATTTTTTGGTTGGTCATAAAGATAAGACCATGTAACTAAAAATAACAAATATAGATCAAATAACTCACAATGACTATTTAATTCTCAGTATACCCTCCATTTTTGCGAATTACTTCAAAAATTTGCTTTGTCAAACTCATTAACTTCTGCATGAGGGTGCTTGGAATGCTTGCATAAACTGCAGCACGAAGAGCATCCACAGTTTCCAATTGCGATCCATGTTCATAAACATTCCTTGCCATCCATCCCCAAATATTCTTGATTGGGTTTCGATCTGCAGAGCATTGTGGATTGCAGCATTGTTCTGCTGGAAAAGCCAGTTTTCTCCATATAGATGAGGGCCTTCAGTAATTAGCAATGCCTTTTTTTAACATGTCAATGTATCTAGCAGCTGTTTGATGACCTTTTACCTCCTGTAACTCAAGAGTTCCATTGTACGAAAATGAACCCCAGATCATAATTGAACCACCTCCGCTGTTTTGTGTTGAGAAAATTTCTTTAGGGAGATCTTTTGCATGCAAGTAATGCTGAAAACTGTCTGGCCATCAAGATTGAATTTTTTCTTGTCTGAAATCAACACTTTCTTCAATTTATCCACATCCCAAGTTTGATAAGCAGAAGCAAATTGTAATTGGGAGGTTTTATGGCAAAGAAGAAGGCAAGGCGTCTGCAGCCATTTCAAGTTCTTATTTAAATGCCGTCATATTGTTTGAGAACTACATTCAGCATCTGTATTTGCTTTTATCCAATTTGATGTTAACTTCTTAACTGCTTGCTTAATGCGTCTGTCTAGAGATGGTGAGATTTTATTGGGGTGACTGCTTGATTTTTTAGAAGCATACACATCTGAATTTTTAATGAAGTTAGCAATGACAGTCCTGCTATGGCCAAGTTCATTTGCAATGGTTCATTGCGAAAGGTCATGTCTTTGAAGTTCAACAATCCTGCCCTGTTCGAACTTTGTTAAAATTTTACTCTTAGCCATTTTAAAATCTTTAATACCGGAAATGAGCTACATAGATGTCTACACACCTAAAGCTATGAGTACACCAACTAGTTCTAAAATTTTTGTCCAGTAGTTTTTTGGGTTTTTTTTTTTTTTTTTTACACATAATCTTATCTTTATGACCAACCAAAAAAAAATCCTTTTTTCAAAGTTTGTTTAAATTAATAATTAAAAGCTGAAAATTTTCAGTTGTTTATTGATAAACTACATGTTCTAATTAAATGTAAATGTTTCGCAAATATATTTTGATTAAAGTAACAGTATTTCATTTTTTTTTAACCCTTTTGTATCTGGTTTTAAGATTTTGACCAGGGGTGTGTGTGTGTATGTGTGTGTGTATATATATATATATATATATATATATATATATATATAGTCATCCACATACAAGCATGTTTCAGTGTATCACAGATCAGTGTGGCTAGACATCCGATTGTTTCAAGCTGGGATCAAAACTTGACCAATTTAGCATCAGTCAGAGATTCTACCCCTAAGTTGTCAGTGCACAGCAGAGAAAGGGAAATTTTCAATGTATTATATATGTTATGTATACAAATGCCAGTAGCCAATAGCTCTCAATTCATAACTGAAGAGTGATGGGTTAATAGCAGGAGCAGCTACTGTTTTATATATATATATATATATATATATAATAAATAAATGTATATTTAGGTAGCATATCTTCATTCAAGCATGTTTCATTGAATAATATAGACATATTGTGTCTATTTATTTTTATAATAATCATTTCTCATTCTCTAATTAACTACTTGATAAATTGAAATTCATCAAGTAAGGCTCTAGTTTTTGTTAACCCAAGTATTTTTGATCTCCTCTAAAATCCTCCTCAGGGGTGAATTGCAAAGACAATCTTATTATCTTGGAGGAGATCAAAAGTACTTGGGTAAGGAAAAACTATGTCACCTTCCTTAATGGCTTTCAATTTAACATCAAGAAGCTAATTAGAGAACTAGAAAGGATTATTATAAAAATAAATAGACATAATATGTCTATATTATTCAATGAGACATGTTTGAAAATGATATTATATATATATATATATATATATATATATATACCATCTATTTTTTAATATAATTTTAACATTATTTGGATTTGTAGTCATAATCATAAGTATTTCAATTGGAGTCATCAGGGTATCAAAAAGGAGTGTTTGTTTAGAAGTTGGTATAGTAACGGTAACTCATCAGGTATTAGATGAAGAGTGACTTTTAAATTTTTTTTTTTTAAAATATATCATATATATATAATAAAAGAATGCTATATATAATTAAAATATTTTACTAGTAATACTACTACTACGAAAAAAACAAAAATAACTATCACCTGAATGGTAACAGTCAATTATTAAATCATTTTTGTTTTAAATTTCTTTTTTTTTTCTTTAACTAAAGTTCACCCAATAAGGCTCAAGAGCCACTTAAGGTAGAGGGTTACTAAATGAGGTGTGTGATGTGAATGTAAGAGGAAGAAGTAGGAAGTGAAAATTATGAGGAAATGGCAGATAGATAACTATTGAGGTTAGACTTGAAGAAGTTAAGATTGTAGCATTCAAGGAAGTATCCCCATGGGAACCTGTTCCACAAAGTAGCAGTTCTTGAGAAGAAGTTTTCAGTGAGGAACGTCAAAGGAATACATAGGGAATGAGTGTGATTCAATCTTGTCGACGTAACAAGACTCATTAAAAAATAAATTATATATATATATATATAAAAATAATCAAAAGAAATTTGTTGGTTATTGAGTTATTTCTATTTTTTTTTTAATTGAATGAAAATAAACTGAAAAGGTTTTTTTTTTTTTCCCAAATCATTCAAGAGAGAAAAATCAAAAACTCACCTCTCGTAATTTTTGAACCTCATCTTCCAGTTCTCGACATTTGTCTGGCAATTCTGTTGCATTTTTCTGTTGTGTTTTTCTGATGTGTTCTGTTTCGATTTTATATCTTCGAAGATCTTCTAATTCCTTTCCTAATTCATCTAAAAGCTGCAAAGAAAGAAAAATTTTTTTAAAAATCAATACAAATATTTTAAAAATGCCAAAATTAATATCCACTGCACAAATTTTATTGCATTATTTTTTTTCAAAATCTTGGATTCAAAATTTTCTTGGAAACAGATCTAAACATCAAATTTTATTCATATTTGAAAGTGAAAAACAGATCTTTGCATAATTTAAAGTTTTTTGTTAAAGCAAATGAGTGACAGCCCATAACTATTGTCATTAGTGGGCCGTTTTGATAAAATATGACAAAAAAGTGGGATGTTAAAAATGTGAAATGGCTGAGAACTGACTTGGATGTAGGAGAAACTAAAATTGAAATAAAATTACATTCTTTTACACTATATATATATATATATATATATATATAGTTTTAAGGTATGCTATATTTATGGGTTAAAGTGCTCAATATCTGTAATAGAGTGTATGTAAATATAAAAATGGACATTGAAGTCAATACCCATAGACAACAGTGTTCCATGCTTAAATGCAATCATCAAACCATATATATATATATATATATATATATATATATATATATATTGGGGTCTATAAGGGCACTATAATAAGTGAAAATAACACTAAATATTATATTAGAACTACAGAAAGAGCCTTGGAAAAGGGAAATTATAAGCATAAAATGAGCCTAAGTAATGAGAAGGTTCAACACAGAGTTAGTAAATTATCGTTTTATGGAGTAATAAATTTATCTTAACTCAAATAGAACATGAAATTTGACAGTTAAAATAAAAAAAATGAAAAACATTTTTATATAGAAATATTGTTTTGCTATAGCAACATCAAATAAAGACAAAGAAATTCTTGTAGGCTATACGTAAGATAATTGTTCACACACAAAATATAACTGCGCCTTAGCAAATTTAAAGAAAAATTGTTGCTTTAAAATGAACACATTTCTCATAATTGAAATTTTTATATGAAAATATGTTTTTTTACCTGAGCAGTTGCTTGTCTTTCCTGTTCAAAATCTTGAGCTTGGGTAAGCATCTGATTTTGTTGTTTTTCATGATCGTCCAATAACGTTGCATAAGAATATTGTGTTTCAGATAATTTATCATGCAACTCAAGCTTTTCCTACAAGAGACACAGAATTAAAAGAGAGAAAAAAGTACAATTAGAATAGAAAATAGATTAGGATTCATTTTTAAAATCTTAAAAAGGTTTTCTTTTTTTCTAAATGATGAAGATGTGATGGTAGTGGCGAGGATTACCCACTCCCATTTAGATAACCTTTGTTTTGTCAATCCTTTTAAAAATCTTTTTAATACCAGCAAGAACAACAATCATCACCCATGTTTTTATTGAAAGTTAAAAAGCAAAAGAAATAAGTCAAAAGAAATATTTGTCCTAAATGAATAATGATGACTATGATTTAACTAAGAAATTTCAAGATTATTAAATCTCTGCATGTTTTTTCCATGTTCATGGCTCTCCACAATTTCCTGTCCTTTGTAATTCTTCATAAAGTTTGTCTCTTCAATCTCTCCCCTAAACCCTGTTCTACCATTTCCACAACCTTGTTAGGTATGTTATGCACTACTTTTGTGTCCCTCTTGCCTTCAATATGCCCTGTGAGTATCAAATTTTCTAAGCATTCTTTCCTCTTTATGTCCACTAGAAATTTCAACTATCTCTTCCTGATGTTAAGCATAAGTGTCCTTTTTGTTTCCAGTTTCTCTAAAACTTCCTCATTGCTCACATGTTCAGTTCATGGTATTCTTCTACAGAACCACATTCATGTTGCCTCAAGTCTCTTCTTCATGATGAGATAATCCAGCATTCACCAATATTACATAACAGTTAAGAACCCTTTTTAATTTTTTGTTTCTTAAGAGATTTTCTCGTTCCTTAATACTTTGCTTTACTTTTGGATGGCATCTTTCACTATCCTAATGTGCCTTTGGATTTTGGTGTTGCATTTTACATCAGAGTCAGAGAGAAGGCATGAAACACATTTCTACATTTTGTTAGCATGTTTCCCATTTAAAAAAAAAAAAAAATCTTCATTTATGTTCTTCAGAGTTCTCCCAAACTAGTTGATTTTATATTTTTCCTATTATACATGTTTGGGCAAAAATCTCTACCTATGGTAGGTACTACTAAGGCTACTCTCATATATTCAACAAATATTGAATATTAATTGGTAACTCTGATATGACGTGAGCACACAACCTTCTAATTTTTTAAATAAAAAATAAAAAAGCATAGTGAACAAAAATGTACTTTTATTGCTTATTGCAAACAAATCACATGACAGGAATATGTTCCTCTCATTGTTGCCATGACAATAAATTTAAAAACATTAATGCTTAATATCAGCACAGAAAAAGAGACATACGTACTGCCTTTAATTTTTCAATTTCAGTTTTGAGCCGAATGGCTTCTTCCTTGCTGGCCTCATAATGCCGGTCCACATCTTGAAGTCTAGAGAAAAAGATTGATGATAAAATTGGCTGATAAATACATATACAAGAAAGCTGATTGTTATATATATATATATATATATATATATATATATATATATATATATAGTAAAATCTTTGGGTAAGTAATCCAAGTGAATCCTATTAATATAAAATATTAAAACTGATCCACAAAAGAGAGCACATTATATTTATTATAGAGCAATGGAAATGAATTACATAAAAATGAAACTCAACTGTATCCAATTTTTATATGATTCAATTGAGTTTTCTTTTTATGTAATTCATATATATATAAGTGAACATTAAAGTCAACACTCAAAGGCAACAGGCTGTTTCATGCTAGGTGCAATCATCAGGCCATATATATATATATATATATATATATATATATATATATATATATATACACACACACACATATATATTATTAATAAATAATATATTTATAATTAATAATAATAATAATTTTTGTGGATCAGTTTTTATATATATATATATATATATATATGGGTTAACGATATCAAAAAAAGAAAGAATTAAAAACATTAATTAAATTAATAAAGTTAGACTAAATACAAAGTTCAAGAATTGTCTCCCTTGCTACAGACATTAGTAAGTTTTACCTTTTGGTTATGTTACATGCACCCCTTCCACACAATCAAGGTTGATAATAGGTATAACAATGTTTTACAGTTATTACAACCCAGGTGGTAATAATGGGAGAGTGATTTTCCAAAGTGCTTGCTCACTCATTTACTTATCTCTCAATCATCGTGGCATGACAGAGACAAAACATTTTTGGCAATCACAGGGAGAGGTGGTTTTATGCCTTTCCTAAAAATATTAGTGTTTTGTAAAAAAAATAAGCAGTCTCTCCTTCCCAACTCACATCACTCGTTTTGATACTACTTAATATCAAACTTGTGTTCTTCGCATGTAGTTTTAAGCTTTTGCCATTTCCACAGATATCATTAAACGAGGTCACAGCTGGATCTCCTAATAACAAATATAATCATCGTGCAATTATGTTCATTAATTGTCCTTCAAGTGCAGGGAATATAGAAAGAATTATGAATGTCACTAAAAGGAAACGTATTTAAAGTAGCTGGGAATTTTTTTGACCATTGATAATTAAAACATCTATTTAGAAAATAATGGCTGAAGGAAAGCAAACAAACAAAAAATAAGCAAAAATTACTTCCTGTATTGCAGGAGACATGAGGCAATGAGTTTTGTCTCTACTTTTCAAATAGTCCTGGAAGTGCCAATTGTTGTTTTTACCAAATGTACATTTTTATGAAACTGTAGAGCTAGCCTAACACTCAACATCGTTCTGGCTTAATGACCTTCAACTGCCCTCTGCTAATTTATCATAGCAAGAAAGAGAAATGGGGTTATACTATTTTCTACAGCATTGGTGCTGTCCCAGCTCCGTTTTTAAAATTGTAATATGTAAATGACTGCCTAATTAGCATAGCTAAGGCATACACTATATAAATGTCCAATCAGTAAGGGTAGGGCAGCTCTCGATATGCAAATTAAATGACTAATGCTGGGTTGATAAAATATGAAATCACACTTCATAACAAAATGCTTGAGTAAAATTCAGAATAATTTTTACAACTCTGACTATTGACTACCATTACTTTACAAAAACTTACTTGACTTTTATCTGGTCACTTATTAAGTATTAATTAACTTGATACCAAGTCACAAGTTGCTTATGGTAGCCTGTTATTCCTAAACTGTCATCATCTAGGTACTTATCAGATTCAACATTGCTTAACTTCAGTAATAAAGCAGGAACTGGTGCTTTCAATAAGCAAGATTTACCATATATTTCCGCATATAAGGCAACATTTAGATAAGATGAGGTCAAAAAGTACAGCAAATTTTCACGACTGCTTATTGATTATATGAAGATGATGTTATTAGAAATGTTGTTACTGTATCCTTAGAAATTCAAAATAATAAAAATAACAAAACCAATTCTATATCATGTTTTTCTTACATACATCCCCTAAAAGGGGAAAACCATTGTTTTGTTTATGTTTCATCATGTGATCTCTTATGACTACTGATGATCATGATTCTTTTCCTATATCTAAACACAGTTAAAAACAGCCTGGTGTACTAATGGCCATTTACTTATACTTCATCGTCAATTACACAATACTGCTAATAACAGTATGATAATCGTATATTCCATTGCTGTGAACGCAATTGTAAATCGATGTTTACATTTTCTCAGATGAGGTTTCAGGGATACAAGTTGATTTCATTGATATGGAGTTATACTTTGAATAGGCAATTTATTATGAAGTTATGGCAGTGATATATGAAGTAGAAATGGTTTTATTACTTTTATTATCAGTTTATTTGATAATGTGAATATTTTCATGTACATTATTGGTTTTCCAAGGTTAGCCTACCAACAAACATCACTCAGAATTTAAGGTCTCTTTTTTAGAATAGAATTTAAGGTCTCTTTTTTAGAATAGAATTTAAGGTCTCTTTTTTAGAATAGAATTTAAGGTCTCTTTTTTAGAATAGAATTTAAGGTCTCTTTTTTAGAATAGAATTTAAGGTCTCTTTTTTAGAATAGAATTTAAGGTCTCTTTTTTAGAATAGAATTTAAGGTCTCTTTTTAGAATAGAATTTAAGGTCTCTTTTTTAGAATAGAATTTAAGGTCTCTTTTTTAGAATAGAATTTAAGGTCTCTTTTTTAGAATAGAATTTTAGAATAAGATGACCCCCAATTTTTAAGGCTGATTTTTGGGATCTAAAGATTATCTTATATGCAGAAATATACAGTAACTAAGCAGTCATATACACATTTCATTTATTTATGGAATTCTGATGGATTCAAACTAAATCCCCAGTTGTACTATAATTAACAAGATATAGTAGTCAATGTTAGATCCGAGATGTAAGAGTGATTGCTTTTAATATAAAAGTAGTTAAACCTTTCCGCTATGTAAGTACACAGTTTAATTATTGATAACAAAGAAAAAGGGTAATATCTAAAATAACTTTGCAAGATAAAAACAATTCTAAGAATGTATTTCCCCATTCGCATATATCCCTAGGAAATGTTTTTACTGTTGTTGTAAGACTGGTTCAGAAATAATCAGTTGAATATCTTAGAAGTGACACTCAGGTCTTACAATGCATAGAATGACAATTATTCAATCCAGTTCTATAACACTTTGTATAATCCTATGTAAAAATTAAAAGAAGAGCCTTCAGGAGGGATTTTATTCCTTATGTTGCCCATTTGCACTTTTTCTACACATTTTGTAAATTTGTGCTACAGAATCACAAAGAACTTTAACAAATAACAGAAGCCACATCACTAGCAACAACTAAAATGGGTAACACATGTAATCCAAAGAGAATATAATGACATAATCAAATATGTTGACTTTCCACCCTACTTTAAAGAAAAGGTTAGGGAAGAACCCCCTCTCCCAATTAATACAAGATCAATAACAGCTACTGGACTTTTTCATGAAAAACTCTTTTGAGAGAAACATTTTATAAACATCAAGAAACAATAATAAATGTTTGGTTGCTGAATGTTTCTATATATTGAAATGGCTAATCTCAGCATTGCCTTTATACAAAAAGCCAGGTCATCATATTTCATAAACTGCGAGAGATTAAATCTTAATATGAATCAGGCCTTGTTCAGTAAAAAAAAAAAAAAAAAAAAATGTTCAAGGTTTTCATTGCTACAAATTTATTTGTGATAGAGGCATGGTGGAGCAATGAATAGTGGCTCGGATTGAGAAATCAGAGAGCAGGGTTCAAATTCCAGTTGAATTCATTGTATTCATGCTATGGGAAAGGTACGACTATCTCTTCTCCTAGCTCTGGATAAATAGCAGAACAGACTGAGTTCTATAGCTTTGGTTGGTGACTAGTCTAGGAGAAAGAAAAGCTCTAAATTCAAACCAGCTTAGGGCTGGGCTCTGTCAGACTGTCTTGCCTGGGAGACACCATTACTGCTATGGTTGCTGTAGGTGTTGTGCCCCAAGGGGTTGCAGGATTCATGATCATAGTTGTGCTTAGATCAAGAGATAGAAAAATATAATGAAGAACAATTTTAAGTACAGTTCTTTTGCCATTAATAAAATGAACTGATCTTTTTGTTAAATAAAAAACATACAGTTTACAAACCTACCTGTGACTTAAATAAATCAGTTGCTCAGCCTTATCTCGGTCTTGCCGACTCTGAAAAATAAAGAAAAAAGTTTAAGAAAATGGGTGGTAAAAATGTACTCATTCCCTACATTAATTTTTTTCTTTCTTTTTAATCAAATTTAAAAGAAAATAATAATAAAAAAAATAAAATAAAATGAAAAAAAATTTCAAGTGTTTATTTGGAAAAAAATACAATGCAATACCTTGATTTTGTCTTTTATAAGATGAAACATGGTGAACCATTTGACAAATATTTCATTCAACTTAATTCCAGTTGCATTTTATCACAACTAGTGAAAGCCTTACTTTGGTCTGGCCCAAGTAATTGCAATGAAAAGCAACAAAATTAACATGAAAGAAATACTTGTCAAAAATTAACAACAAGAAAAGATGGGTACACAAGATGGGCAAAAATTACTTTAGTGATATTACAGGTGTTTGTAAGTAAAAGCTTAAATTATTTTTATTATTTAATTCATCATGGATACAAAATGAAAACAAAAACATTATTGCTTTTTTTAGTCATTGCAATTAAAAGATTAATTAAGAATAATAATTTTATGATGTAAAATTATATTTTAAGCATCATACTCTTATTGTCAATGTCTTACCATTATGTGGGAGGTATTTCTGCTGCACTATGTATTTTACATAGGAGTCCATTTAAGAAATTCAATTTTTAGGTTTAGGTGTTTTCCTTAAATAGGCTCTGTTGTTGGATACGGGTTCAAATCTCACCAAATGCTATATTTTATTTATTTCCAGATATTTATTCAATTTTTAAAGTCATTTGATATAGCTGGTGAGCTTAATTTTTGATTTGTTTTGATGTATTAACTTTTAAACTAGCTTGTCAATAACACAAACTGAAGTTTCTGAATAACTCAAAGGGAGATAATTCGAGAGTTACGTCCCTGTTAGTTGCTGTTCTCCGAAAGCATTTTTCTCTTGGTAGCTCAATCTTTCTATTTTAATATCGTATTGTGTTGATCTAAGCTAAACTTAGTAAGTATTAAAAGTTGCATCTTAAAGTGGACACTATTATATTTTGCATGTCGTAAAATTTATAACCTCGAATTGTAAATTTATTTTAATTTCCAATTCAAGAGAACTGTTTATTTTCAGTTGAATAATGCCTAATGAAAAATATTTCTCAGTTTCTAAAAAAAAAAAACAAATTTCACTATTTTCCATGTCATTAATTGTTTAATCAGGAGCAAACATTTCTAATCTTGTTTGTATCATTAAAATGTAATTTTTTTTTTTCCTGGCACTGTGTCAATTATTCATGTGATTAAGTAAAGAGTATTTTTAACCCCCACCCCAATCATTTAGATGGTTGAAACAAATTTAAGATAATTTCCTCTTATAAAATAAGCATAACATCTGGTGAGATTTGAACCTGTATCCAACAACAGAACATATTTAAGGAAAACATCTAACCCTAAGAATGGAATTTCTTAAATGAACTCCTATGTAAAATACATGGAGCAGCAGAAATACCTCCCACATAATGGTAAGACATTAGTGGCAATAGTGTCTTCATATAGCTAATGTGTTACCATTATGTGGGTGGTATTTATGCTGCACCCTCTATGGTTGGATTGACTCAATAAATTTACTGGTAAATATTTATATTCCTATTAAAATAATAATTACTATGGATTGTTGCAATAACATTTTTTAAACCAATTGACAGTAAGTAGTTTGATGCTTAAAATATAATTTTACATCATAAAATTATTATTTTTAATTGATTATTATTCTTAATTAATCTTTTAACTGCACTCACTATAAAATAAAGCAATAGTGTTTTTGTTTTGTATCTGTTATAAATTAAATAATAATAATAATTTAAGTTTTTACTTATGAATACCTGTAATATCACCAAAGTAAATTTTACCCATCTCTTCATTGAAATGAAAAATTACTTTTATACAGAATAGAGGCAGAATAAAGAGTTCGGATTTTTGTTAGATATTTATTTACATTTTCTTTGAAAATTTTTAAAAAGTTATAAAGGGCCTTATGTTAAATAATAATCCTCTCATTTAAATGGGGTTAAGAAATCTGCTGGTCAGAGCACACATTCTCCTTGCACTAAAAGTGTAAAGTCAGAGCCATGCTATGATACCTGTGGCATGTGAGAAGTGCACAGGTATTTTATGCAAAATTATAGGTACACCATCTGATTACAATAAAAATAAGAAATAGTGTTGAAAATTTACCAGAATAAATACTAATATAATGAGGGTTTTCTTTTTTTGTCTGAATTTTTGGGATGAGGCGTTATCATTACTTACACTATTTACATTCTGACTATTGTCCTCATCAGCCTTCATCAGGTGTGTATATTGACCTGAATAACCTACAGGGAACTCTAAACAGAACCTCCTTTATTTATTCTATGGGAGCAGACGGTTTTCGTTTTACTGCCCATGTCGATGGATATCTCGTCAAGTTCTTATTTTTTAGCACTGTTCAGTTATTGCTCATCCATTTGCACCAAGTCCAAGTGCCTGGCCCAGGGATTGAACTCACAATGACTATATCTAAATTCAAATGAGGGTTTTCTTTTATTTTAGGGGGAAATAATCAGAAAGACTAAATATTTAATCTTCTGATAATGGCAAAGAATTCTTGAATTCTCTTAGAGCACAACTTTCCAGACCATTCTGTGTTCTCTGTCACAGAAATAAGAAAGCACACAAGAAAGTATTATTTTTTTATGGAAATTTTACAAATATCTTACAAAATTGATTGTAATTTTAAAAAAAATGATCCTGAAACTTTCTTTCTGTAAATCATTCATTTTAATCGGCTCATTTTCCCTCAATGTGGTTACCGCTCCTCTCCATCCCAAAATTATGGGGTATGTTGACATTTCTAGGCAGTATAGTGCATTGGCTTGCCAATTCCTTTTGCATCCAGAATGTTGAGGTTACACCGTCACTCCCCTCAGAGATGAATTTATTTTTGAAGTTACCTTCTAGTTTTTTTGCCTAAAGAAGCAGGATCTATAAGGCAGAAAGTAGTTTTGAATTTAAAGTTTCCTTCTCCTAGACTGACTGTCACCCAAGGTGATAAGATCCAGTCTACCTTGCTATTTTACCCATAGCTCGGAAGAGAAGAAATGAATTCATACTTTTCCCAAGCATGCAAGTGAATGTAATGGACTTGAATGGAATTCAAGATTTAACTCTCCAATTCATCAATACGAGCCGCTAACCATTACTCCATTAATTTTTTTTTTTTATAATACAGCAATACATTCTTGAAAGCATGAATCTGGCTTTTTCAATGGGCCAGTTCTACTGCTGATACAATGTAACCTAATATAACTTGTTACTTGGAGAAAAGTACTAAAATAACCCCTATCAACCAGAGAAATGTCATAAAAGCACCACTATTGGATTCTAGCCATTTACTTGGTCAAAGGATTATTTTAATTTTGAAAAGCATTCTTTAAAGCCTCCATGTAAAGTGAGTACAAATAGTTAATACGAAAACTTGGTAAATCAAGATCATTCTCTTGAACGTGACACAGATCAATGAGGATTAACAAAGACAAATATACAGTAAAACATAGATTATCTGGAAGCAGAGTTTATCTATACTAACAAATGTTTTTATCACACAACATCAACACCAGGCAACATGCCAAACAACTGGGAAATAGACAACTTCGAATAATAAATTCAGTTACAATTTTTGATAAAATCTATAAAAACATTTGAATTTTAAAAATAGTAAATGTACAAAAAAATTAAATGTAAATAAATTAAGTAACATGAATTTATTTAAGACTTTAGAATAAAAAATAAAATAAATATAATATTCGTTATGCCTTTTTTTATAAATACTTTCATGGTAACTGTTTCGAAGAATCTACAATGTTATTGGTTTGGACCTGGCATCTCAGCTTCAGTCACTTTTTCCCACCGCATTAACATAGCTTCCCCATGTCTGTTCTATAAATACTTTTTTTTAGTAATTGTTCTGTTGAGCTTTCATTTGGGGAACCTCAGCTTTATGAATTTAAGTACAGTACTAGATTGGTAGCTAGGTCTCATCCTCTTCACAATTAAAATGGTTTGATGTATCCGTAAGTTATTTGCTAACAGTTTCTTCTCTCACACTTCTCATTTGTGAAACTATTCCGGTCTCTTGCTTTCCATCAACTTTATCAAGTTATATTGTCTTAATTTCAGTTCTTTCATTATTCTCTCTCCTTAATAGGTTTTTTTCCAAATATTCTCTCATACTCAGTAACCCCTTGCATCTTAGTGGCTTTATTGCCTTCCTTGGGAGGTGGGGGAATATTGTCCAGCTCTTCTGGTGATGCAGAACTCGAATGTTGATACTGAATGCTAAAATTGCCAAATGATGTTTCTGCCGGAAATATTGTGCTAAAGGCATTCTGAAACTGTGATTGGCTCTGTATATAAATAAACATTAAAATTAGTATATATCTGAATATATAGTAATTTTCAAAGCTGAAAGTATTGGGTACCCAATGAGGATTGAACTCACTATTCAGTCATAATTGATCTAACGAGACAAACTTGCACCATGCCAGTACCCAGATGATTTTCTAAGCACAGCTTAGATGTGGCACAAGGCCAAAAGTGTGGAATATATCTGAATATATGTATACATCAAAAACTTTTAACATAGAGGCAAGATGGAGGATCAATTGTTATCTTTACTTTCTAAAAACTACTCCCCACTCACAAAAAATTTGGATGAACTTATTTTTAATTCATTTGAGGTACACTTCAATGAGTTGAAATACAATTGTAAAAATTTTGTGGTAAAATAAATTTTGACCCACTCTGTATAAATATTAATGATGTCAGAGGTTGAATTAAATTTTAAAAAAAAACAAAAAACTCAACCTCATAAATTAGTTACCTCCCCTGAAGCATTACTCAAGCTACTTGCACTAAACTCAGTGTTCTTCACTTCACTAGTAAAAATAATTTAACTTTCAGATGAACACAGCAATTTTGAAAATGACGAAAATATTTGTCTTGAAAAAAACAACACTCTGATGATGGCATTGTGCTAATGTCGAAAGTACTTGGAATAAATAATATGTATCAACACAGTAATTTTCTCTCTTCCTTTAATAATGACACCAAAAAGCTTGTCTATGAATTTGAAAACATCCAATTGAAAATAAGTAGAAAAAACTTGTCTAAATTATATGGTGTATTTATAAAGTAAAAGTGCTCAATATCTAGGATAGAGTGTGCGTAATAAGAAATGTGGACAATGATGCCAACACCAAATGGCAACAGTATTCCATGCATTAACACAACCTTCAGGCCATTATACATATAACACACACATACACTATGAAAAAACAAAACTGGCACCAATGATTAGTGCATATAAAAAATAAAAACCGAGAAGTATAAGCAGTCAATTGCTGATACCCCCTATGAAGCTCTGGAGTCGGGATGGTTAAGGTAACATCAATCAGCTAAGTGATAAAACTTTTTACTTGTATTATATATATATATATATATATATATATATATATATATATATATATATATATAAGCACCTGCATTAAGTATTGTCAACTAGTGGTTTATTCCAAAGCTCCAATAAAAAGCTGTGATTTTGAATATAATTTTTCAAGTTAGGTAAACCCTTCTCTCTTTAAAGATTGGTGCAACATAATCTTTTTACTACATTTAGCCTAATGGTTAAGCTAAGGTTAGTAAATATCTACATAAGCATGGTAAGTACTAAGATCCCTTCCTGAGAGATCAGATATTTGCATTTAGGTAAACAGATGTTTGCAAGGAAGCAGATCAAGGGTGTTTTATTTTTATTAATTTTTTGTGGGGCATGTAAATTCAAACCATTCTTAATGTCGACTTATCCAGAAAATCTAATAACTTACAAGCTCAAGACATTTTTTTTATTTGATAATTAATTCAAACTAGCATCCACATTTAGCATTTTGATTACTCTTTCAACTAGCGATTTTCCAACCATCCTCGGTTGCATTTCACATACAGCAATCCTGCACCCCCACCCCAAACCCCATCTCCTTCCAATCTCAAGTTCTTCCCTAATCAAACAACCAAGATTCATCATGCTGGTAATATCTTATTAAGAGATGCAACATACACTTGAGGAAGGCTGAAGAGCCCATTTGCTAAAATAGCAATCAACTCATAAACGAGGATGCTGGTTCAAATAATTCATTGAATAAGGAGAACATATAGACAGGCAAAGGGTTTGTTTATGAGGAAAAAGAAAAACAACAGAGAAGTGGCTCCAAAGTAGCAGAACAGTCACATCAGGATAACAATATTCATAATGGCAAAATGGAATTAATAAAAACAAACATACCATATAAGGGTGAATATAGATGCCATACAAGGTTTCAAACATCACTAATTATTTGGTTACGACATATAACAAGAGTTATTGCTTGCACAGCTTGCCTTTATGAGGCATAGATCAGAAGTAACTAGAGATGGATTTTGTTTGACAGATAATCCACTAAGTAAAAAGCATTGGCAAATGGATTTACAGTTAATATGGTATCTACATGCAGAAACAACACCAGGGTTTACTTAAAAAAAAAAAAAAAAATACATGTGTACATATAACAAGGTCACTGTGTAGACTCTTACCTGCTTCTAAGACATTGAAGCAAAAAAAAAAAAAAAAAAAAAAAATGAAGAATTACTTATTAATTCTATTAATAATAAAATTGTTTGTGTTTAATGATGATGATGATGGTGATGGTGGTGGTGGTGGTGATGAAATAAAAGAGGTTTTATCAGAGTGGATTTGTCCGTTTTTTTGTTTTTTTTTATGGGTGGGTGAATTTGGAAAGTTTCACATGAATCAGCAATTTTAGGTCAATTATACCTTTAATACAATTTCAAGGTTGAACAGTATGCCTATTGCATGTGCCGAGTAATACAGGTGACATAATCTGATGATATTAACAGGAACTCTAGTGTTGGGCTTGCCTGACTGTTGGATTATCGAGGCACGATAATAATTTGATTACCTCAAACACTGGCTTAGAAATGCAATTCTTAACAAAAGCATCATGGCTTGGCATCACGTGTGAAGATTTGATAATTAGTGTGTGGGAGAGGGCTTTGCAGGTTCTCGGGTGGGTAGGGAGGCCTAAGCAACAGAGGCATGCTTTCCAGCATCAACTGTTCATGAGCACCTGGATTCATTCAACAAAGAAGATTGGCCTGACAGATCTTGTACCTTTTTTTCAGTTTGAATTTCTGTGATGATGAATTATCATAACTTGCAGTCAGACCTCATCTTTGTTGTTGTTATCACAATATTTTGGCAGGTGCATTGTCAGCTTTCTTTAGCCTTAAGTTTACTTAGAACAACGAAGGCATAACAGACAAAACATTGTGATGGCAACAACAAAGATGAGGACAATAGTCTGAATGTATATAATGTAAATAAAAATCTTATGCCTTCATGTCACCTATGAGCCCCACACTATCGGCTGCCACTTTTTTTCCCCACCACCAATTTGCAGGAGCCGAAATGTTCTTCTTAATATGTGCATCTCTTCAGTGGGAAGCCCAGTCCTCCACTGTTCAGACGCGCTAGAAACGTGAGCCAAATTCCTGTCAATTATGATCTATTTGTACAACTTCTAAAGAATATTCCAAAAGTTCAAGTGATTTTTAAGATTACTGGCACATCCCTTATTAAATAATCAATGTATAATAAACTAAGTTAAAACCATGCATTATCTTGCTTTTTAAGTGTTATCTACAAAGTACTGTTTAGGAAGTAAGAGACCTGTCAAAAACCCACTATATTTGGGTGACAATTATATGTTGCAGTTCATCTTAATTCTCAAATTGTAAAATTCAACCTTTTAGTGTTTAGACACTCAAACAATGACAGACTGGTCCCTGATGGGGGTGAACCTCTTGTATCAAATAAAAACGCAATAAAGAAACAAACAGTTGATTTAGTAATAAAAACTTTATAAAGTAATCTGCACACTATCAGTTATTCAAGTCCAATGTGAAAAGACATTTTACAGTTGAAATGACTAGTGGTAACTGCAAGTTCTATGTTAACAGTTTCTTCTCTAGCATTTCTCACTTGTGGAACTCTTGTCCAGCTTTATGTTTTCCAGTCAACTTTGATCTTCTAAAAATTTAAATGCAATGTCAATCATCATGTTCCGTCTTCTTAATTCCTCTTCTTCTATTGTTTTCTCTTCTTAATGTTTTTTTTTGTTCATATTCTCTCATACTCAGTAACCCATTGTGGCACAGTGGCTTTATTGCCTTGCTCATGATGAAATGATTAAATAAATTTAACAGAATTTTAAAGAAATTAGGCTGCTGGTATAAATCCTTATAGAAAAGGATTTATTTTTGCATAATTACTCATGTCAGTTTTGAAAATTTTTGTAAAATTTAAATATTTTTTTTTAATTAAAGCCTTCACTTTCTTTCATTTCTATTTCAAATTTATATTTAAAACCTAAACGATCTAAAATTTTCAGATCCCCATAGAACCATGAATTCTTCATACTATGCAAATGAAATGAAAAACTGTAATATGTAGTCTCAATGTATTTATAAGATGGATAAGTACGTCAAAAATTCATATGGTACATACCACATATTCTTTGTGCTTCTTTTGTTCATCTTTGACTTGCTCATCAGACCGGATCTCCATCTCCCGGAGTTGTTCCTCCAAGATGTGAACTCTGGAAAACAAACGGGAAAACCTCAAGTAAAATTGTTGGTGCAAAACAAAGATCCCCAGAAAGTATTTCACAGATGTTTTTATGAACTAAAGTTATTTATCCATATTGAAAATGAAAGGTTTTTTGAATTGATTCTAAATTTTTTTTTTTTGTTCAAAATTGACATCATAAAAAAAAAATAATTAAATATCCAAATATTTTAAAAATGAAAACTCATTTTCCACCTGACTGCCCACCCATATGATACCCACACCCCATCCACTGTTGATACTAAAAAAAAAAAAAAAAAATCATCATTGGAAGCTTCTTAAAATATAAAATAAAAAACTTTAAAAAGTGATTAGTCTTTTGATTTACAATTTTTTTTCAAACAATATGAAGACAAAAATTACGGGGTGTAGGCAATAGCAAAACTTTCAAGAAATCATACCTTCTTCCTTTGGTCATGATTTAAAACAATATCAGGTTGTTGCTTATTGTAGATATTCTCTCCTTTGTTGAGAAAAAAAAACTCACAGATTATCACACCAATTTCCCCGAAATTAAGATCTATTCTCTTATTTATAGAAATTTACACCCACACACAAAAAAAAAAAAAAAAAAAACGAAAAGAATCAAGCAAAATTTGAAATATAAATAAGTTTTTTAGAGTTTAAAAAGATTTACACTTGAAAATTAAATCTCTATTAACATAATAATCATCATACACACAAACAAAATTAAAATAAAAAGATCAAATTTTTGTGATCTCATTAATCAAAACTTTTTTTTTTCTTAAGAGAAAAAAAAAAAAACAACTCCATTCACAAAATCAATAATCCTAAAACATTACAACAGTATGCAGGTACTTTAGAACGGAAAAAAAAAAAAATGCTAATTTCCAAGAGGACAATGCAGGACAAGATTCCAATTGGTAAAAAGTGATAAACTTTTTTCTTTTCTTTTTTTTTTTTTTTTAACCCTTCCCTCCCTTGAAGAGGCCAAGAGGTGGTTAAGTGAAGACTCTTTCTTTTTTTAAAATGCACGTAATTCTCAGACAGTGCATTACATTACACACAAGTCCCTTGAAAGAAAACAAGCAAAATAGACAGCAGCTTGCGAGATAAAAATAAAACTTTTTTTTTCCCCCAGTTGACCTGAAATAAATTTGTTAGCTACAATTTCAATGATTGACTTAACTGCTGAGAATGTCACAAGTTGGACTTTGGGAGGGGGTCCAGACAATAAATAGAAAGATAAAAAGAGTGTATATATATATATATATATATATATATATATATATATATATATATATATACACACACATACACACACACACACACACACACGTTACTAAAACGGTAACAGTTGGTCACCTGTAAGCATTAGGTGAGAGCTACTAATTTGGCTTCTCTAGCAGAGTTTTTGTTTCAGACTCCTGTTATTAAAGTTAACAACATGGCTACTAAAACCAGAAAGAAAAGAAAAGAGGTGTCAAGGTTAATTTCGTTTTATTCTTTAACACTTTTTAGACCAGATCATTTTAATTATTTAATACTTGTAAAATCTTTCTTCTTTTTTTTTTTTTACCTTTTTTTTTTTTAATTATCACTATATTGATTTGTGTAATCTCATTTGAATGAAGAGGCCCCACAATGTGAAATCCTAATTTTTGGAATCTTTCAGGGCAACTGAAATACTTGTTTTTAAATATCTATAAGCAACACTGAATTTGGCATAGCAAAAGTTTAGCAGCAGCGAATTTTGTTTTTGTTTACACTACAATCTTAACTTGTTCAAGCTTAGAGTCAACCATTATCTTCCCCTTCTATCCATATAAACTACCCCTTAACGTAATCCTCTACCTCGAGGGGCCCCCGGGCCTTGTATAGAGTGAACCTTGTGACTTTGTGCTAGCAGCCAAGTGTTCTGTCTACCCAATTTCACTCACAAGGCTTGGGCTAAACTGTGGTATGCTTTTCAGGCACTTTCCAAAGTTCAATCCTAACATTTCCTTTTCTAACAATTTTCACGTCTGAAACTCATTTCTGCTTTCTTGCTTCCCTGCTATTTACAATCTTCAAAAATTTAAATGCAACGTCAATCACAATCTTCTTAAAACATATCTAAAATAATTTTATTCATTCAAATCCTGAAAATTTCAATAAAAGCTAACAGTTCATTTCTACAAGAGTTTCCAAATCAATGCTTTGCACTGCAAAAGACTAAAATTTCCAGTACTAATTTATGGTCACCCACTGCTCCAAGAAAAAAAAAAAAAAAATTTAACCAAAATTTGTAAGGTACTAAAAAGGATTAAAAATTATAATTTAAGAAATCAAAAATCCTTTGGTTTTCCTCTTAATAATAACAAAGATTTTGATGATAAAAAAACTTTGTTTTTATTAAGTTTGGGACATTTTTTCATCATGCATGCTTACTTTTTAGTAAATCTTTGGAGGTACCTATAAAAAAATTAATGGATTTATTTTTAATCTGATTTTTTTTTTTTTTCTTAACATGAAACTTTTTTTTTACAGTGGACACTTGTATTTGGAATAGGCATGTCATTTTTATTTTTGACAGTGTGTATCTATCTGAATAAAGAAAATATGTTTCTTCTACAAAGGGAGACAGGTTCAATCCCTGCTGGAGACATTTTCTTTAAGATTTGTTGTGTGACCATGCAACAGGCCAACAGACTAATACACACTGTTTAAAATAAAATGGGGTGTCTATTTCAAATACTAGTAACCACTATAATAAAGTTTGAAGTAATAAAATTATATATATATATATATATATACACACACACAGGTAAGATGACAACAATTCCAACATTCGTAACATTTAATTTAAAAGAGGACTCAATACAAAGTAGAGTGACATTAATTATTTATTTCAGGATATTATATCAAAAACATGTCAAAACTGCGATGTTTTACATGTTTTTTGATGTATATATATATATATATATATATATATATATATTTGGTTGGATAGATGTGAGTTTGTGACCTGGGTTTCACGCTTTAGCGATCGTCAGACAAACTGATTACTGTTTTAAAAAATTTGGGTTTATGTAGATTGCGTGTATTGGTGTTATTGTGGAAGTGGTGGGGGAGATTTCGTCGTTTTGTCATTCATCGTACAAACGCAAACATTGATGTATGCAGACACATATACATATACATACTTGGTCGTCCGTCGGGACTCATACATATATAAAACATGTAGACAGTTTCGGCTATGACACATGTATGTATAACGGGTGGTGTTATGTCTATACATACGCATTTGTATGTTGAAATGTTGAAATTTAAACATTGGAAGTGTGGCGGAAATGTCTCATTATTGTCTCGTGAATGTATCCATGTCATATTATGAAATTTTTTTTTTTTTTTTTTTCCTTGAAAAATATTTGAAAAATATTTTCTCGCATGTATGTATATATGTGTAGTGGGGTTTGTGTAAAATTATGATAGGTAAAAATTATTATTAAATTATTTATATTTATTTTTAAATTTTTGAAAAAAATGGGGTTTATTTGTTATATTTAAAGCTGGTTATTTGTTTGTTTTTGGTGACTGTGTATATGTAACAGGTAAAAAATTGTAATCCTTATTGTTTAATTTATATGGTGATGTTTAATTTAATAACGGGTTTATATGATATGATGAGATAGTAATGTTTCAAAGGATTGGAGACAATGCTATTTAGGTTTTAGCTAATAGTTATTGTAAACTGGAAGAAATTGCAGATTGGTAGAAATGATTAGTAACGGTGGTGGGAGAATGATAAAACCATGAATATAGTTATAGTGGTGGTAGCTTGAACTAAAAAGTGGTTGTTGGTGTTTTATTTTGTTTTATTTTGTTATATGTATTAATTTATTTTGGTATAAATCCTGATAATAGGTATTCTATGTAAAATTATGGTAGTTGAAGATTGCTATAATTTTTAATTACAAAATTATTATTATTATATTAAAGCTGCCTGGTAATAGGTGTTTGTTCTCATGGTTACATATGGAAATTATATCTGATCATATTGTTTTAAAGTATTAAATATGCTGGGGGGGGTAATAAAGATTGTAGTGGATTATATGTTAATAGTGGGTGTGATGTGTAAGTGATGGTGCTGTGTGTAGGTGGTAATGATAATATTGATAGTTAATAGATATTGTAAGGTGGTAAAAGTGATTACTAATGGTGGTGCAATTATAATAATGATAGGTGCAATTATTTTGATGGTATCTTGAAATTATTGTGATTGTTGGTGGTTTGTCTGTTTTATCCATTTGGTATGAATTCGGATAATAGATACTTGTTCTCATGCCTACATTTGGAGATTATCTCTGATTTTTTGTTTAGCAAGTTCTTTTTGCGGTTTGTGTGATATTATTGCTACTTTTTCGTGTAGGCAAAGTAGGCATTTTTTTCGTAATGTTGTTGTAGGCAGGGGCTTTTTTCAATATTTCCCAACTTATTGTTGGTGTGATGTTTTGTCTTTTTTTGCTGCCATATGTATGTAGAAAGTGTTGTGCTGTTCGAATATTTCCTGTTGTTGAATGAAAGGTTGTGATTGTTATTCCTCATCTTGAATGGACCTTGGTGGCAACCGATGTAGTGCATAGTGTTGTTGTTTGTACTTACCTTGGCCTTGTATATTGTGTTCGTAATTTGGCAATTTCCTGGAGTGGACATGTTGCTCTGTTTCTGCAGTTGCATATAGGATCCTTGGTTACATTTTTGTAGGTTGTCATTTTTTGTTGTGGTTTTGATTATATCTGTTATGTTTTTTGTACAGCTGTAACTGATCTTTACGTTATTTTTGTTAAATATTTTTGATAATTTGTTTTCTTCAGTGAAGTGTTTTTCTATTAAGTTTAGGAATATTTTGCCTATGTTCGTTTTAACAGTTTTGTTATATGGTGGGTTAAACCAGATAATGTTTCTCTTTCTGTTTCTGCGTTTTTGGCTGTGGAGGT